TTAACATCTCGAAGCCCCAACACCCTAGGCCGCAGGCCATGCAATCCATAAAACCGTACGTACGACCTCAAACAACGGTAGCTGTCATCGCAAGTCAACAAATTTGCCAGGGCGAACCATAGAGGCATCTATATCCTCGTCGAGGACAAACGGCACCTGGGGCTTTAGGACACCATGAGGTTTAAGTTCACGCATCGAAGGCATTTGCTGTGGAAAGGATTCAACAGGCTCAATTCCAGGAGTCTTGCTACGGCAGATGCCAGTGCAAAGCCAATACCACACCTTGACAGGCATCAGAATGGCGACGCATGACTTGCGATCCTTGCGCTGCTCGAGTCTGCAGCAGTAGCAGCTGGTTGCCGCCGGTGCTGGTCTCAGGGGGTGAAGTTTCAGCATGCTCAAGGGCAGACACTCATCCATGTAAGAAGCTCTACTGCCAGCCTGAGCTGGCATCTGCATAGAGATGCTTTTCTGCATGTCCAGGGCAAGGCGTAGATCCTGTGTCAAGGCAGGTGCACACAAACCAAAGACTTGCATATAATCTGATCTGCCTTGCAGTCGCTTGTTAGGAGATCTAGGCGTTCTTGAACTCGCTTCTGTAGAAGCTCCTGGTGTTAAGTCGAGGAAAAGTGAGATGCCGATTGCGAAGAATTTTCCGGAGCCTGGCCTGCGCAGAATGCAGAGCTCGACACCGCCCTGCATCCCATTTGTTGCTCTTGTCATCCAGAACATCAAGAAGAACCGCCAGGTCCCCGGTGGCAACAGGAAGAATCTCGAAACGTCGGCCCAGGCTTTCCTGGAGAAGGCGCGATGCCTTGGCGATAAGCTGGACTCTGTCCGACTCGCGTCGCAAGAGGTCAGCCCGCGAGAACACGAACTGTAGCTCGGGGGGCTCTTGCACGCTGGAAACTTTCTTGAGTAGGGCCAGCAGCTCGTCTGAAGGTTGCTTGGCCTGCGAGTCCAGCAGGCACACCACAATGTCTGCATGCGAAAGTATCCATGTCGTCGGCTCCAGATCTTGTTGACCAAGTGATCCAGACACTTCAATAACCTCGACTCCTCGAAGACGCTGTGCCGACACATGCCGACATGATTTGACAATGGCGGCTGCCCGTTGCACCCAATCCGGAAACTGCTCCGCTGCTCGCAGCAAAAGACTGGGCCACTCGCCCTCGTTGAAGTCCTCCGAGACCTGCCACTGAGCCGGCAGAGTTGATGCCGAAACCTTTTCGTCAAGCAGAGACAGCTCCTCGGTCAATGCATTCACGAAACTTGTCTTGCCGGAAGAAACATCTCCCAGAATTCCCATGACCACTTGAGCTCCGTGTTGCTGCAGCGGCACCCTGAGATCTTGGGCGAGAGACTGGAGGCTCCAACTGCAACTCGAAGGTCCTGGGAACTTGCAGTCTCCCACCTTCGCACCACGATACAACCGGTCAATGCGCAGAAGCACTCCATCAGACCCTGAGATTTCGGATGCCATGCGGCAAGCCCGATTGTAGTTCACCTACATTGAAGATCATTGAAGCAGAATATCTGGTGCTGCTTTTGTGACCAGTGCTGCTGCCACTGCTGCATTGCGCCTGTCTGGTGGTGTACGCCCTCGGTAGCTTGTCACGCAGCAGAGCTGCTACAAACACAAAGCTGCGCAACACCACAAAAAACTCGCTCATTCCCTTGTGGCATCACGGCTGCGAGGAACATGCAGATTTGAAATGAATGGAAACGAGAGGAATCCAAATACAGTGCAACGCTGCCCCGGACATGTGTCAAAGCCGGGACCGAGGAAGCCATGGAAAAATTACATGGGGTACTGGTATTGTGAGCATGTAGATGTATGCGAACATGTATTCAGCGTGGGTGTTTTCCATGTATAACCATATGTGCAGACGGGTACGTATCAACCTGGGCGGCGATAAATCGAAGCCGGTCAGGCGATCAAACGACTACCGGAAAGCGGATGACTTTGGCCAAATGCGCCGTGACATCGTCGAGATACTTTCCGGATACCGGCTCGTTGCGTCGATGCGGCGACACACCAGAAGACGTGCTAGCCTCTGAACCAGCCCTAAAGCATGCATAACCCCTAAACTCCCGAACCCCAACGGCCTCAGATGCCGCGCAATAACCCTTACACTCCTTACACAGAACATATGCAATGCATATACTTTACACTTATGTACTTTACTGTACATTGTATGGAGTTTGCTGTAGGCATATCTGTTGCCTAATTACGTCTGGATGCCTCAACATCCCCACTCATCAACACTGATTTCGAGCAGGCAGGGCGGTTTCGGCAGGTCACAGGAGTCCCGGGGCATGTTGTGAAAGTGTCGCGACTCCGGCCTCCCGCCCTTCCTGGGACATGCCAAAAGGTTTGAAGAGACCGAGAGGGCATGAAAAAGTGGCAGTGCGCAAGGTCTGAAAATTCTATAAGCATTCAGACTGCCTTGTAACTAACAGACGTCCACATATACGCTTCGGCATGTCGAACACAAAGGCGAACCTACTTGTCGCAAAAGTGTGCGCTGACATGAAACAGGCGGAAACTCGACTTGCATGGGATTTGGGCAAAGCTTTCACGCTTTCCACTTTCATCTTACAGGTTTTAATTTGTTCATTTCTCCCATCCTGACTTTCCTATCCCAAGGTTGGCAACTGTCCAACGTTCCGATATTCCACTGCCGAGTTGTTCGATGTCCGCTTCTCAATGTTCGATTCTTAAGTTTACGGGATTGTGGAATGGTGGCATTCCGTCTGTGAAGACACCATCATACAAAGGTGTTGTAATGTTTGCCGAGTAGAATCTAAAGTCAAGCATGATCGATTCTGGCCCAAATGTGTGCACGTTCAACATGAACAAGCCAACCCATCTACCACGAGACCTCCACCCTTATGCTTGTGCCTCGGTATGGCATGGCTCCGGACTCAAGCGATCACGTTCAACATGGTACTCTGCTTCGCGAAGGTGCAGCAAGCGCGCACTTAAACTCGGATTGGGATAGCAGCGATGTGCCGTCACGACGTTCAAGCTCTTTCTGGGGTTTGCGTTACTGAAAAACTCTCCCTCCGTCTTTTTGCGGCTGCACTTTCTCGGGCTGCAACTTGCGGCGCTGGCATCAGCGCGTGCCTATAGAAATCACGAAGGATTGAAGGTATGGGTCATGGCAGCATGCGACTTTAGCATGCTCTGCTCTACAAGACAGTAGTCAAAAAAATCGACGACTTCCAGACTGCATCTTGCAGTCGGTTTCCACACTGCATCTTGCAGCATGGAGGTAGCACATGCAGAAGACCTAATTATGTCAACCAGTAACAGACACTGAAAGCAAGGCTAAGCAGATGCGGGCGTTGCCACTTCGAGTAAGTTCGAACGGATCACTGGGTCTGTCCGTTGGTGCCCCATCCTTGCAGCGACGTGTCCCTAGCGCTCACTCACCTTTGAGGGCTCGTCGGGAACCTGAGCTCTCAATTAAACGAGTAACCCGGAATACGGACTTTCCCCCGACGCTGCAAAAGAAATTGGCCAGCTTTGGCAGGATGATCTTAGAGTCTTCGAGTTTCCGTTGCAGCCCTTACAAATAATGCACTGCCGCAATGCAGCTCCTGCAGTACTGCATTGCACTTAAGTCTTAAGTCTCAGGAGTTCTGCAGTAAGCGATTTGTTGTTGTTGTTGTTGTTGTTGTTGCTGCTGCTGCTGCTGCTGCTGCTGCTGCTGCTGCTGTTGTTGTTGTTGTTGTTGTATATTTGTATTTCCAGCACGCCTCTACCTTTGCCTGAAAAAGATTCCCGATGCTTCAGGGGCATCCAGAAAGTGCCGTTTGCTGCTCCTGTTGCTGTGGCGTGAGCCGCTCCATTAGCTCGAGCCTAACCACTTGCTTCGGAACCGCTTCCGTTCTGACGAAGGCCCTTCAGTCCAGCATTGCACGCACACTGGCTTAGTCCACGAGTGTGGCCAGCGCAGCTGCAAAATGCACCCTCTGCCCCCTTTTCGGATCCAGGGCAAATCAAATAGGCTTCATCACTCTCCTCAAAGCTTTGGATTGCACAACACCCGGAAGGTTGTTAAAAACTCGGTGTCAAGTTGATGTCGTGGAACAGTCATCCTTGATCGTTCCGCCCAGTCTCAGCTACGCGGTAGTGAAGTCTGCAACCCGGTCCCTGAATGTCGCATGGCTTGGCTGTGCTGCGGACAGATCGTTCAAGAAATCCGACATCAGGCCTCAGCTCTGGCAACGCAGAGAGACGCTAGAAGAGAAGCAGAAGGGACGCACTGGGAGTTGGCGAGCAGTCGTCCACCTCATGGCGAGAAGCCTGTACCTCGCATGATTATCTTCCAACCTCTGTTGCCGATGCTCTTTGCAAAAAGCCAGCAGTACGGCAACTGGTCTGGCACTACCACTCGCGCCAGAAAACCTCCGTTCACAGGCAAGCGTGCGACCCCGTCCCGTGTGGCACATCCCTGCCAGTACAAGCGATCCGGATGTCTGAGCCGGCAACGTAACAAAGTGAGGCAGGCGTCCGCCTAGGAGGAAAAGTCGGACATCTCAGGCGCTGCCAGAAAGCTTCAAGTTCAAACAACGCACTACATTATGGACGAAGTGGACGAAGTCTAAGTGCAGATCCTTGGCCTTGGGCTTGGTGGTCTGGTGACATCTGCCTGCGACAATGCAACTTTTAACTCCGACAATAACCAGTGAGTTCTGAGAGCAGGAGCCCCGCACCGTTGGCATTTATATGCACAAATCCCTCCATCAAGACACGTGGGTTAATGTGCCAATGAATGTAAGTTCAAATACTCAGAAGTCTGCTGATGTTGGTATTTGGAGTCGATGCGGCCAATCCTCGAGTCAGTCTTAACTCTTCGGACGTCACGCCGTGGCGACACATGGCAGGTTTTCGGGGAGAGTTCTTGGTTCATGCACTCCTTGTTGACACGACAAGAATGCCGACGAAAAGTGGCGAGCTCCACGCCCGCTCCTGTGTACTTCTTCAGTCATCAGCACAACATAACCCAAACCTTGTGCCTCCAGGATGGAGAGCGAGGAGAGCGAGGGCGAGGTGTTTGCTGATGCTGTTGATGTTCGAGCTGATGTCGCAACTCCTGCCTATGGGCCATGCGGCGCCTGAGCACCATAGCTTACACCTCTTCACCATTCATGTCGAAATACGGTCACTCAGATTAGCCCCGCGCTGCTCCTCCTCCTCTTCCTCAGGAGCCTAAGAGCACAATGTCAGACCGACCAATCGCAGAATGGAGCAGAGTAGCAGACTCGATGGAACCGGCCATCTTGAAAGTCCGTCTTCCTCACGTCAACAACCGGTCTCCTGCAGCTCGGAAGCTCTGAGATATTCTTGTCGTGGCGAAGCCGAAGAGTTGGCCTCCAATAGATGTTGTTTCGTCCAGGGATTGTATCACCAAGCCTGGCCAAAGCCGGCAAACCCCGCGCCAAGCACGACTAGATCCTAGTAGCCACATAGAGCCAAGAGAAGAGCTAGCTGAGATCGCTGCGCCAAGAGCTTTTCAGGCCTGACGTATCCGGCAGTCACTGCATTTTCCACTGACACGCAGCATGCTTGGAGTCTGACTTCTCCCACGGATGCAGCCGGCTCTGGCGCTTGCTACCGAAGCCACCCATATGTGTGGCATGAAACCTCGTGGCTTGCGATGCAGAATGAAACGGTCACGTTTTGAACAGCACCAGAGCCAGACAAGCCTTAGAAGTCCCATTTCCGGACCACAGTCCTTAGGACAGCATCCGCTGACAATGTCTGGCAAAAGTGTGTTTCAACGAAGCTGCAGTCTCCATTTCTGAGGACTGCTCTGTCCGATGCCGAGTCAGATTTAACCTTGACAGATGAAATTGCGTCAAGCACCAGAGATCACAAAAACAAGACGCAGGCCTGCCTTACCTGCGCACCCGGTACGCTGACAAGGGCCCAACTCGAGCTCCAGAAAGACTCCATCAATTGGCCGGCCATCTGCGTGAAACCTGCAATGAGCAACATGCAGCAAAACTCGTGATGACGCATCAAGCAGCTCTTCCCGCTCAGATCCAAGCACATCCTTCGGGTTCCTGGTTCATGGTTGAGATCGTATTAAACATTTTGAAACTCCTTTCTCTTTGAGTTTGAGTACCCATAAAAATGTAAAACGTTACCCGACTCTGACAAAGGTTCCAGAAGTCAGCATGGTCCGATCGAGCATCGCACCTCAACTGGATCTGGTCTGCCGGGAGGAGGCCCAGGCAGAAGAAGCGTACGTACAACACACGATTCTCTCTGCGTTTTTGGTCGCCAATCTGAAGGAGTTCTATGAAACCTGACCTGGAACGATCGGTTGCCACAGGAACAGAATGCCCGCTCTGAAAAGGAACATGTGAGCGGTTCTGTGTGGTCACACAGATGCGCATGCTGCTGAGCCAGCAAAACTTGATCTGGGGCCACGAAGCAGGCTTCTCTGCCAGCAGCCCGCACAAACCTCTCTTGTGCCTCACCAACACGGGAAACGGCCTTGGCAACTGTCTACTTGCGAAACAAACCATCCGCACACTCCGACGGTGGCCCGTTCTCAAAATATCGAGAGCAAGTACGACAACCCCCCAGTCAACCTGACTCCATAGTTGGCTACAATGTTGGCTGTGAAGAGGTTCCGAGCATGCTTTCGATCGTTCCCCGTAACAGGTTCCCAAGAGATTCCAGGTGTGTTCGTCTGGAGATCTTCTGGAGGGGGGTGGTCACAGCGTCCTACCCTGTCTTCAGTGGGGCCGGGGAAATCCAGAACTCTCTTTCATCGCAACTCGGACATCCGCGGCTCGGATTGGAAGGACAAACTGGAAGCAACGCCCATCTTTGTGTGCTGGTACGATGAACAGTGCTGCACATGTGCAGCCCACGGATGGTAGTTTGTCACTACCTTGTTTCACTTCTGCCATTCCTCGGACAATGCGGAAAACTCGGCAAGAGATCATATGTCTAAATGAAAGGAACCCGCGAGCAGAAATGTGACTACAGCAGCTGGCAGCAGACGGACTTTCAACGTCCTTCTCACGCGAGTCACCTTGCATTCCACGTTCGCCAAGTCAGCAGGAACATATACCATGCATGTACCAATGTTGCCTGCCAGTCTTCCGTTCGGACATGGACGGCTAGGGCATCCCCAACTTAAGATACCAAGCCAGCAGCCGTTATGCACAGCACATCGTGTAATTTCTTGCAAGCCTAGATCTTTTGTGGTAGGAACTCCCTCTGTCTCCGCGTTCCTGTGCAGAAAGCTTTCGAAGAACGACTTGCCAGGTATCGTTTGAAACTCTCTCCGTTAAGAGGACGCATGAAAGTTCAGAACCAGCCTGCCGCGGAACCAGCATAATACTTAACATATACGTAAGGAACCACACCAGCCGGTTTGAAACGGCTCGCGAGATCGGGAGAAAAACAGTGGCTAGCAAATCTGATGCCATAGCACACGTAGACAACAGGTTTGGAGGTGTGGGACAGGGCGGATGAAATAACTTGACGGGCAGCGCCTTGCATCGGCCGATTACATAGTATTGTAGAAGCTGTTCCGCGGGTCGCACGCAACCGGTCGGGTTTCTGAGATGCGAACAATACAAAATTGGAGAAGTACTTGTTGAGCAAGTTCGCACACCTGTCGTGTGTCAGATGTGCAGAAAAAATTGGCGAGCGAGTGCACCATCAGCAGACGTCTGCTTCGTAAAGTTGCCACAGCACCAGGGATCCCATATCGTGGTTGCCACACACTCTGGCCGATTGGCTGTCTCCTCCTGGAACATGACATCTACCTGAAATACTCAGCTTCATCGGAAATCTTGACTTCTCGAAGATGTCGCGATGGTGTCTGGATATATTAAGCCGACTCAGAAGAGGACACGCAGGAGTGCAAGGGGATTCGTGAAGTTGACAAAGATATCTTCGCCTGAAGACTCGAATTTCTGAGACATGAAGCTGCTCGCGACAGGGGACTGTGCTTCGGACCATCGAACTTCTGCACCAGGCCGTCATCAGCACCTCACGGCAGACAGCAGTCTCGGCACTCGGGGTTCCAACTGCCAACTGGGAGGCTACAACGAAAGCCAGCGAGCTAGGCGAAAGTGAAGTCTCAACAACCGCCTCGCGAAGATAGGTGGAGTTTTGGACACTTTCATTATCTTGATCCGTCCTGCAGACCTTCACCAAGCCTACCAAGCTTCTACTTCAACTCAAAATTCCCTGTCAAAGCATCCTTTTGCACTACCTGCCGTTGCCTTCGGGTCGTCCGATGTTGCCCGGATCCGTTCCCCAACAAGTTGTACGTGTTTTGAACCGTTCCGAATGTCTTTTCATCATATAGGTTCTTAATGCCGTTTCAACTAGTGTTGGGCGGGCAACGTACGTCTTCAGCACGACCGCTGTAGGGCTAACTAACTAATGGTGCTCAGGACAAGGGCTACATCACACTGGCAGCATACTCGATGGGCACCTTCCCACTGCACCGCCTGACTTCTTGTGGCTGACACATCTTGCGGAGTCTCAGAACCTTTGCTCAGAAATCATATCATGGACAATCAGAGCATAAGTCACATAAGTCATCAAAGTCAGTGAAGCTGGGGGGCAGGCAATAAAACTTGATGAACAAATGGCCATCGTCCATGCCTAATGTACAACATGTCCGAGATTGTCCATGTTACAACTCTTCTTGCAAATGCCGCTTCGAAGTCTCAGATATCTGACCCATGTTCAGCATGCTTTGAACAAATCCTGCAGTGAAAGCACTGAACGTCTGTACAGAAGCCATTCCTGATTTCACTGTCCTTCGTCCACCTCAATGTCTGCAATGAGAAGGACAAAGTCAGACCATGAGCCACCTGAAGCAAAGGCACGTGGCGAGGGAGAAAATGCGATCAGCACGACGTGCATCTCGAGTGCACCTGATTCGCGGCCATGGTCAAACCACTTTCGCCTAAGTTCAATCTAGCATGCGTGCTGAAGCTTTCCCAATGTCCGATTACTGAAAGTCCGCTTCAGCATGAAAGTTCATAAGGGTCAACTGCTATGTAGCCTGTAAGATGTTGACAATGCAGGCATACTGGACTCACAACGGACTGAGGAGAATACCAATGGAAGACTTGGTATTTGACCGCGTGCGAAAGGATGTCACCTGCCCATTGCCCAAAGCCTACCTTGTTGAATGAGATACACACATGAATGAAAAAACGCTGGCTTCAACGAATGCAAAGCAGTCACCTATGCCAGGCATCTCCCACAGCAGCCCAAAAATCGCCCCAGGCATGATCCTCAGCTGTGCAGATGTGAAAAACTCCTACATGCTGCCGAAGCGAGCTGAGCGCTCGGCGTTAGGGACAGGAGGTGCGCGAACACTACGCCGGCCAAAAGCACCACGATGCCCAGAGCAAGCCCCAGAGACCTGATGCATTCAAACAAATCTCAGGATGCGGTATCGTTTTGACTTCGTGAGCCTTGAAAGAGGGAGAACTCTTACAAAGTAAGAGTCCAAACGCATTCCTGTAATTGATGATTTTTCAATGTTGTGCTGAATGCCTGCATAAGGGTTTTCATATGCCTCCGAATTCTAGCTATATCTCTCTATATATGTACATGCATACATATATATATATATGTGTGTGTGTGCTTTTTATGTATACATGTGTGTACATAAATACATACATGTATACCTGTGTACTCTGATACTAAAACTTGTTTGTGACATTGCGCAAGATGGTTAGGATCTTTGCATTCAGTACAATGCCTTTGTTGCTGTAACGTGTATCAGCCCCCGCCGTCCTGCCGCTCGCACGCAAAAGCGAAGCAAACAAAAAAAAATAGTCCTTTTAAGTAACAAAGAAACTGCATAAAACAAAATATGTCCACTTGATCCGTGCGTTCGCGCCACCCCACCCTTCATTTTGAGGGATGGGCTCGACTGCACGGCATTGAACAGCCCCTACATTTGCGGAAGCCGAGCCGGTCTGGTGCCCCTTATTCGATAAGCAGAAGCAAGACAACTCGCTTGCAAGCACATTGCCCCAGCCGCTCCTTTGCTGGATTGCGTTCCCAGCTTTCTTTCACCTGACCTTCTCGCCTGAGCCCTGCCTTCATCCTGAACAAGAAACCTGAACCCTGCGCGCCCACTGCCTTTGACCTTCCACACACTATGCTCATGCACGCACTGAGGCGGGTGCCTGCTAGTGCTGTTCCCGAGCGAAAAGCTTCCCAGTGTGCTGACCCAGCAACACTCACTATCATGTTAACACAAAGTCAAGGAGTGCCCTCGCCCAGGGGACACTCCTCGACTTTGTGTTAATATCATGGTGAATGCTGCTGGGTCAGCGACACTGGGAAGCTTTTCGCTCGGGAACAGCACTAGCAGGCACCTCCCCTCCTCTCTGCTTTGGTGACCGGTGCGTGGAAGGTCAAAGTGAGACTCCCTGCAAACCGACCTACCTGCCTGACCCTGCCTTCACACCGAACAGAAGCCTGAACCCAGCACGGCCTGCGACCTTCCACTCAACCTTCAACTACAGCAGCTGTCTATCAGAGTGACTGAGCAGGTTCCCGCAAGTTGAGAAGAAGATACAGGGCATAAGATGGTGCAGGCAAAGAAGCAACGGGTATCTCGGTCAGGCATTACTGAAGGCTGCATGCATCTTGCATCGGCAGTGAGACTTCCGACTTATCAAACTCAGGCCTGCTTCTGGTTCCCACCAAGGGTCTGGTGTCGTCTTTCCACGGGTGGGTTCTGCCGGGTCTGGCAGCGCAAGTTACAGTTGTAGTTGGCCCCCTGCTTCTGGTGCTCGCAACTGCGCTGTTACTGCTTCGCTGTCGCAGGTGTTCTCTGCGGCTGTGGGTGTCTGCCTACCGTGTTTTGGTCTTCTTCTTGGTTAGCTGGTGCTCCGGGGCCGCACAGTGGTAGGTCTCGGGCGGCTGGATGTTCTCCTGGAGTCCTCCACCAAGACTACTGGGTCCCCGCAGCACTGTGTACTCCAAAGAAGTATGTTGGCTATGGTTTCGTTACCTCATCGTGAAGAAAAGGAAGTAGGCGACGAAGTGTTCGTTGGGCTCGTAGTGGAAGTTCAGCTTGCCGTCGCGACCGGTCTTTGGGTTGACATCCGTGGAGTGCCTGGGGCGTTTCCTGATCGGCACCAGCTGCTCCACTGTCTCCAAGTCCTGCGCCTCTTCGTCTGGTGTGGTCCAGGTCTGATCGTGAGTTTTGGATGCCTCCTACGGCAGGAACTCGGGCCTTTCCACGCTGCCGCAGAAAGTGCTGTTCCAATCTGTGTACAGCATCCCAGTCCCGGGCCCGCGGGCTTTTGTGGACGAGGGTGCTCCCTTCTCGAAGGAGGTTACGTATCTGCTCCAGGTCCTTGGTCAGGTCGTTGTGGGTCACCGCCTCTGGTCCCCCCTTTCTTGTCGTGCTTCCATGGTGACAATTATCAAACCGACGACGGCTCCTGCTGCTTCGTTGGGGTTGGGCGGCATCGGAGTGCCACGGGTGGCGGGCTCTCGACGGCCTCCTGCTGCTGCTGGTTGCTGTCCTGCCAGAGCCTGTTGGGTCTGCACTGTGATTTCGCCTGGTTCCCTAAGTTGCAGGATGTGTAGCAAGCACTCCTGTGACACCTGTGTGTGTGTGTGTCTCTCTCTTTTCTTTCACCAGGGCTAGGGGTGGGAGAGCAAGCCCCCCTCACCCGCGTGTGTGTGTCTCTCTCTCTCTCTCTCTCTCTCTCTCTCTGTATTAGTGGGACCTACCCCGTTTCTCGCCCTTTCCTCCTCCTCTGGACACAGACAAGAGGCAGGGAAACAGCGAGAGAGAGAGAGAGAGGGAAATAAGAAAAAAGAAAGAGCAAGAGAGCTGCGAAAACGCAACGGGTAGAGCACGGAGAGGCTACAATGCTACAGTACAAGCTCCGGTGCTCACATCTGACAACTCTCTAGAATAACTGTGGCCCAAGTCCGAACCAATGTCCAAAACTAACCACAAGCCCTGCAGAGAAGACCGCTGCACACAAGGCTAATAACAAGTCAAGTCATGAAGGTCAACTCGAAGCAGTAAAGAACTGCCTCTGTCAAGAAGACTTTGCGCCAAGTTCAATACAGAGCAGGAAAAGTCATTCCAACTGATAGACCAGCCAGGCACACATGCGTCCAACTGACTTCACACAGCCGAAAGGACGAAAGAATCCGCATACCTTCGCCACACCACCCTCCAACGCGCCCCGCAAGTTCGGTGGTGCAGTCTCGGCTTCGGAAGACCGTGGCACAGAGTTTCACCAAGAACCTCCTTGCTCGTCTTCTCCCTGAGGATCCTATGAGGGCATCACCTACAAGGCCTGGAGCAACAGCGGAGTTGTTCATTCTGAGATACTCCGTGACATACTTTGCATCTGCGAAAGTCGCAACACAGGCTCTTGGGAGGGACACAGTGAAACCGCATATGGCTAGCAGACGAAGAAGCTACTGGCTAAGCTAAGGACGGGTGCGTCATGTGGCGAACACCAGAAGATGCGACCTGGAACAGAGGTCAGCAAACGACCAAGCTGTAACAACCTTAACCCTCACACAAGCATGAGACCCATCCGCAGGCAGCACCAGCCGCCCCAGCAGCGGCACAGCACAGGCTGCTGATGGAGATCAGCTGCCCCTTGTCGCACCAGATTCGATCAACGAATTGCTTGATAATGCTCATAATGATGACAATAGCAGTGATGATGGTGGTGATGACGATGATGATGATGATGATGATGATGATGTTGGTGACAGTGATGATGAGGGTGATGATGATGCTCATGATCATGACCATGTTGATGATGATGATGGTGATTATGATGATGATGATGGTGGTGGTGGTGATCACGAAGATGGTGCTGATCGTGATGGTGGTAGCGAGGAGGATGCAGCGGAGGAGCATGATAACGATCATCATGTTGTTGATGATGACGATGATGATAGAAAGCCATAATCATACTCATAACAATAATTTAATAATAGTCACATAGTGATAGTGATGATGATGAGGAGGAGGAAGAAGATGATGAGGATGATGGGGACGAGGTTGATGAGGATGATGACGATGATGGTGATGATGATGATGGTCGTGGTGGTGGTGGTCATGATGCTTGCCGTGAGTGGCAGCAGCACGACAATGTTCATGATCCAGGATACCCCAATACGCATGCAACGGGGCAAGGTGAGTGCTGACATGAAACCACATCGCTGTACAGAAAGGGATAATCAAGCTGCTGCTCTATTGTATCAAGTTGTATCCCAGGAAGGAGGGTTCCGTCTCTTCTTATGGAAAACCACGTATTTGCTTCCGGAACCTCGTTCAGCCCCTACCGGAGACAGAAACATGCTAGCTTCGTTGTGCGATCGTAGACGAAAACCATCGAGAGGCAAGATATCTCGTGCAAAGACGAGCGTGTACTATGAATGCCGTGGGCCGGACATGGGGAAGGCTGATTCCATCCGTAAAGGCATTGACCCCCAAAAAGCAAGAGCACTGGGCTCTGAAAAATTGAAGCCCACAGTGTTCGCATGTGCTACCGGTACAGGACCACTGCGGGGTCCCTGCACTCACAAGACTAGCTTCAGTTCTTCAATTTGAGCACAGGAGGAAAACTTGCCACTGTTGTTGTCGTTGCCCAAGGTTGCGAGAGCTTCGGCCACACCGGCCATCGGATCAATCCGGGGATTCCCTGTTTTACAACTTGGCGCCTGCCCTTCTCTTATCAAAGCAAGGTCCGTAACCGGGGTGTGTGCGGGGTGTTCGCCTAGGCCTTCATAAGAGGCAACCGTAGCCTGCATCGGCATCGGGGAAGTTGAGGACGGGACGGGGCGTCCCACGAACAAACTCATGCGTCGAATGCGGCAAAGGAGTATCGAATTTTACTGAGAGAATGCAATTCAACACCATCCAAGACATCCCTGACACAAAATGCGCGACAGAGCTTAAGGTTTCGACTTGCCTGTTCTGTTACTATAGATTTAGAGCCGGCTGGACCAGCGATGTTTTCCCACCTGGAACTGTCGGCGTGGTGTCGGCGTGGCGAAGGCCAAACAATGGTAGAAGTCGTTGAGTTGACGGACTTAAAGCTGCAGTAGGCATGTGGTTGTTTGCTGCCTGGTGCATTCTGTGACTCGGCACCGGGACGTCTATGGCCTCCCCCACAGGGCTTGTCCAGAGCAGCTGCGCAGTGACGAGCTTCCATGTTTGCTATCAAGATTTCTGATTCTGAAGGGTCCATCGGCATATCCCCGATATCGGCATCCCCTGCTCTGCATGCCAACCTGGCACGTGCTCGTTTGTGTTCGTATGCTCGTTGCTTGATCAGGTTGTCAACAGATTGCCTTCCCGCATCCGCTGCATTTGGGCCTGTTTCTCATTCTAGATCTCGAGAACTGACACATCAACGGACCACAATGTGAGTTTATGCATGTTGCGGCCTTGTCTGCGACCCAACTCTTGAAGCGGGCGATGAGGCTGTACGCGAAAACAGCTGTGAAGGCCTGAAGCTATGTGAAGCACTTTCGGTGACTTCAACTCACCGGCAAGCGGCATATCGGAAGGCCCTACAAGCAGGAACCCCGAGTCAAGCACGGGCCTCACTTGCACAGAAGCATACTGTAAATGCAGCTGCTAGTTGATGGTGAAGCCGTTCAGCATCAACCAAAGCCTCATGCGCCCACTGCCTACATCTTGGCCTGAAAGCCACAACCAATGCTCCGTCGGTGACTGAGAGTGCAACCCCTTGCTGGTTGCTACCACCCTGGCTCCACAATCCGCGCACCTCCCCAGTTGAAAGCATCTCGGCAGGCTCAAGCAACAACGACGCCGATTGAGATCTGGACAGCAATGCGAAAGACTGGAACAGCAAAGAATGCGCCTGCTTCCAAGTGCAACACTGTCTTCGCAGGCACATCTAGGACGTATGTGGAAGAAGAAGTGCGGAACTGGTGCTTAGCACCGTTTGTACCATGGCTGTAGAAACTTCTGGTGGGCCCGACACTGTAGGGCTCTGGCCAAGGATGCCGACCAACAGCGGAATCGCCTCGACTCCGCCGGAACTGCACAAACACGGAATGCGGCCATTCATCTATCCCGTGCTGGAAAGTGATGTGTCACCACCGTGCACTCGCAATAAGTACCCCGCCATAGAGACTGCGCAAGCTTTCAAGGGCAAACTGCGGCTGCCCTCAAACAGGCTTCGCAGCTGCTTGTTTGCATGGAGACAACTGACAGTAAGAAGACTTGCCCCATCACCACGACATGAAGGTGGCCCTTCTTACGAGTATGCCTGGCAATGCCTGGCATATTCGTAAACTTACGTTCGTGCTGTGCTTCTCGGGTGCCTGTGCGACGTACGGGTCGAAGTCGCGGCTCTGAGTGTAAAGGTCGCTCACCTCTGAGACGAGCAAGAGACGAAGCCTGTGACTCCAGAGTTTCTAAAGCCGATCTCAGGCATCGACCCACCAAGCTGCTCGCAGAGTTGCAAAGGTGCCCTGTACCCAGGCAGCTAAGGATACAATGTAGACCTCGCAGACTCAGTCGCTTCTTGCACGTTGCTGCCAGCGGAAAAAGTGAGGTTGCTACCCAACTCGGCAAGTAGATTGACTGCACCTGCAGGGCGACCAACTTGTGCATCCATGCAGATGCATGGACTAGTTTGACCTAGTATGTGGACGGGCATGGCCTCCGAGACGGCCTGATCTGGGACGCTGCTCAACTGGAGATCCTGGCGCTCAAACACGCATAGCCCGGATGCAAAAAGGACACCCAAGAAGACGATCCTGCTTTTTCCGTGGTGGAGACCAAGAAGGTGCCTGGCATGTCCGCGGTTTTTCAGGGTCGCGTCGCGCAGCTCCAAGCTGGGCCAAGCTCAAGGCCCAGCTGCCATGAGGGTCACACCACTGCCTTACACACGTAACTCAACCCCTTCGCCAACAGCCCACCTGCTGCGGCTCAGCTCAAAACTTCTCTAGCAGTTCGCATACCGGGATACCGTCATACTCCGGCTCGCACGCATTTCGCTTCGTTGAGCATCAGACAAATGACAGGCTTCTGAGGTCTGCACGTACTTTGATCAGGAATTTCGCAATGTTTCTCGGCAGACAGGGCAAGCGAGCTCTGACTCTCTCACTCGCGGCAGAACTTATGCGCCTGTGCAACCGGGTCCTGGTTGCAGCGGAACCATGCTGCGAAACAGGATGCGCGGCTCGCAAGATCCTGTCACCGCGATGAAGACACATTTCTTCAGTGTGCGTATGCCCCCGCCCTGACTCGCCTTTTACGCCTATGTGTGAGTATTTAAGATTTGTACCTATTTTACTCGGCGCGACGTGTGGCGTGCGGATGCGTGCGGGGAGTGACCTTGCTTTAGGCGACTCAGCTGTCCTCCATACCTTGCTCGCTAACCAGGCGCCTCCTTGGGTCTGCAGTTTCTGAAGACTTCCGTGACATCTAGGAGTCTCTGTGGCCGATGCTGCCGTTCGCACTCCTCTTCGGAACTGCAGCCTGCAACTCTGTCGTTTGACGCTCTCGTCTTCGTCTTCTGGGATTCCCGTGAGGCTGCGGCTGACGGCAATGGAAAGCCTCAAAAGCGATTGCGACGGTGAGACGGGCGAGCTGCGCGCGGCACTTCACGGAACATTCGGAAGGCACTGCCTCGCGTTGGACACTTTGGGGGTTCCCGTGGTGAACACGTACTCCTCAGCAAAACCATCGCACTTCGAATCCTACACAACAGCAAGCCTCATTATGGCTTTTGTGGGCAGTCGTGCTCTCATTGCTCCTGGTTGTCTTGGCCTTCCTCGCTTGGCCAACCCTGCAGCACCCAGCAATCTGAAAGAGCTTACTGTCAGTTGGCCCAGGCCTCCCAGAGAGCGCCTGGGAAAGTCGTACCTTCAGTCCATGCAGCGATTGAAAGCAGCTCCATTCCCAGCTCCATCCGTTCCAGGGAGTCCAACTGCCCATGGCGGCTTTCACGATGCGTGGCGGCAGCAAAACCACCTCAGGCCACATCGTCGAAGTGAGCAGCCGAGCCCGGTAGAATGAGCCGTCTGGCTTAGGCCAGTTCGTATTTGGTGTTGCGGAGAAGAGGCTGTGAAAGTTCTATCTGCAGCACCTGGCTGATGCGCCAGTCAATCCCTTCCGAGCAAGACAGTGCCCGCCTCACCACTTGCAAGGACCTGAACGTCATCTCCAGCTGCTATGACGTGACCTGTGTCGAATGAGGTGTGCAGCTCATGGGGTGCATGTCATAAACCGAGGATGTTGCAAACGAATCCGACGGGTACGCTGTCCAAGGGATCAGCGCCGGATCCACCACTGGCAGGCCTACAAGTCTCACTTGTCAACCAAACTTCCGAGTCTAGCCAAATCATCGATACGCCAAAGGCCCGGGCTCAAGAGACCCAAGACCGGTGTCTGCCCTTAGCCATCACGATTCCAGGACACACACACACACACGCACAAACACACAAACACACACTGTCGTCAGATCTGTTGATCTGGAAAGTCGTCGGTGATGTGGCTCGATGGTACCGTTCTTGTGTTCTGCTCCGATCTGCTGTTTTCTTGATGGGACTCGGTTCTTCTCATGAACATGACTGCCGGAACATTGCACGGCACAGAATTCTGATCCGTCGGACATGTAACTGCTTAACCGAGAAGATAGAGAAGCTTGACTGATCAAACATGTCCAGCCCCCCCTCCTGAAACACGCAAACCGCTGACCACATGATCTGACAGCACAGCACTGACATGTCGAGATGAAGCATGCACAACCGAACTACATCTCTAGCTTCCCCTTTGCTAGCGGCATGACACACACACACACACCCTGAAGGCTTAGCTTTCTGTCGTTACCATTCCCCTCTGCCCTGTGTTTCTGCCTCAGGCAATGAGCTTCTTGCGTTGTGTGAAATCAAGGAAGCTGGATTTTACTTCTGGCGTGCGTCATGCAGCACGATAGTGAGCTTGCATAGTTGCTGAGAGCATGGATGGTACGACGTACGAGCTAGTCCCGCAACAACTGTACCTCACTACCGACAGGACCAAGGCCCCGGCGGAAACTTCTGCCACTGGAGTTCGTCATCCGGCTTCAGGCTCGAACCTTACTCTCGGCCATGACACGCCATGCAAGCTGAGAAGACCGTGACAAACTGGATCCATGGTTTCTTAAACCCAGCCATCGAAACTAGGCTGGGCACAGATATCTCGCAAGGCCACCTTGAGCTGCATTTTCAATGTGCAACAAAATCACAGTGGCCCTAATGTTCTACATACGTCGTTCCGAGGTTCGGGGCTGGGAATACCCTAATGACCGCGGACGGATCATCTTTTGTCACGACTTCCTGTCGCAGGGCGCGACGGGCTCAGTTTCCATCCGTGCATCACACATGCCATGACAATGCCATTCGATTTTGTGGCGCTGGACGGCGTCTGAGAATACGGACGGGAGGCCCATGCGGTTAGGAAGCGAAGCCGCAACCGACATAGGACTGTCCTCGAAGATGATTCGAATCCTCAGCCGCGAAGGATCAATGCCTGGCTCGCAGGAAATGTTTGAGTAGGGGCAAACGGGATAACTGCTCTTGGAACATGGAAACCCTGCTTGCCTTGTTCGTTCCACCGAGGTTGGATTGCAAGCCTGTCAAGAAATTTCGCGAGCGAAATGGTGGCGAATCAGACCATAACTTGACTGAGGCTGAAGCATTTGAAGGTTGTGCTGCTCGGCAAAGTAGGCATTCTGCTGCACAGGGATCTCCTGCAACGGAGTCTGAAAAAGCGCTAAGTGAAACAACTGAGGCCCATTGCAAGCACTGCTTGCAGTGCAGCCCAATCCTGCTTCGGCTCATTGAAGCGTCCAACTGACTCGTCGAAAGGCTCCCCACTCGGCAGCGGCGTAAGCTGAGCAGCGACCTAGACATACATGTAGCGTGTCTGTACATCTGCACATGCCGCGACTCCAACGCCCGTGCGACTTGACTCCGCAAGTTGCAACTTTTGAGAGAAGTAAGCTCCCAGCACGCAGGCGAGACTCAGTGACGGTGAACACGTTCGGCCCTGCGCCAACTGCGACTGCATAGGAATTGCATAGCTACCACAGCTCGAATACATCGAGAATGCACTCCGACTGGGTTCCACATGGCTCCACGTCTGCACCTCCAAGAAGTGGATCGAAGATATCGGCGAAGCTTTGACCCCGCCTAGGCTCTCACACGCGAAATTGCTTCGCAATGGCACCCAACCCTTGAGGATCCAGCTCCTCAAAAGCAAACAGTGGAAGTTGCAATTCATCGGCCAAGATCCTGCGACACGGAGCTGAACTCAGAGTGTCCAGTGAAGCCGGCACTGCACTGCTGGAGCTGGCCTGCCAACTGCAGCTTCCACAGCACGCATTTCCGCAGCGCTGCCTGCCCCGTGAGTGAGAACACTGCATTTGCAGGAATGCTAGTTTCGGATCGTCAGAAGCTTGCACAGCCTGTATCGAGGCCTGATATCAACACGTGGTTCTTCTCCTAAGACGAAATGAGAGAATCAGCTGCCATTCACTCGAAACGGGTCGTATCTGCCCTGCAAGGAATGCCCAGTCTCACACGCTCATATCGCTGGACCACACCCCGGCCAGGGCTCCACCACCAGACCTGTAGTCCCGGAAGCAGCTCACTTTCAAAACTAAACCTGGAACGGCGCGCAGGCCCTAGGCTTGCGCACGAGACTTCCGAGTGAGTAGCATCGCCGTGGCTGGCGCTGTGGACCTCAAGCGTTTGCAGTTTGGGGAGCCTTGCCGGCCGATGTTTCCTTTGCACTACCTTTCCGTGACAGCCTCCAGGCATGAAGCCATGGTAGTGTCAACAGCTCGAGCCTGAACCAGCTGCAATGTGATATTGCACGCTGTAGCACCAGGCAAGACATGGCAGACACACCACTCTGGCGATTACGCCCTTGTGCCCGGCGTCCTCGGGACCTGCGGGGCTTCAACATTTTGACTAGCGCTCCCAAGCGGCGCTGGAACTGAGAAATGGACATCCCCTGACACGTTGCCGCAGAAGCTCCGCATAGCCTCTGCACAGCGGTCGCCTGCAAACCTGGCAGGACTTCCCTTTCAGGTGCGCTCCTAAGACGTACGGTGCCGGCTCCGCACAGCTGTGCGTACACGATGCAGTTCACAGAAAAGCAATGCCTGCTTCTGCAAATGCCGGCTCAGCATCTCCACCCCCAGTTGCGATTGGAAAAGGTGCAATCGCCTGGGCTCAGAGAGTTGGCGAGTCTCAGTCCAGCTGCATCTACATCGGAGCCCCCGGGTTTTCCCGAAGAGAGCGACAGGCACAAGCACGTCATAGGCTCTGGCAGGAATGCCGTCGAGCTGGTGTATAAGCCTTCCGACGCATCGTCACCTGCGAACTAAAGCAAAACTGGCAAGCGGTCCAACTCTGCACGAGCACTCGCCTCTGGCATCGCGGAAATTGCAGGCTGCATTCATCTGGAGCACCTGTAGATTATTCTGAATCTTATGCTTGGCGAATTCCATGAACTCAGCCGCACATTTGCCCCACTTCCCTTAGGCAGTGCAGGATGGGAAAACGAATTCAGCCGAAGATTCTTCGATCATGCGCCGTGCTCCACAATTTTCCAGCACCGGAACTCCACATGCCGTCTGCCACTGGCATAACGGTAAATTAATGACCAGCTTCAACTTCGTTTTTTGAAATGTGCTCAGGGTTTAGGCTTTGCGCAGTGCCCAGTCTCGAGCCGTGCATCGATGGCCAGGCCTCTGCAGTCCGAGTCCCCCTTTTTCGTGCTTTCATGCCCTTGTTCTTCGAGCAACGCAGTGTTGTGTTAGCCACGGCCAGCAGCGAGCCTCCATTCTTCAAGTGTTTATTTACGGTTGCAAGCCCGCCGACAAAAGACTCGAGTTCATAGTCCCTTACGCGGCTGCCCCATGTAAATTTGAAGACTGGGGTCCTTTGTGGCCTCATCTACGAAGAGGATTTCTGAACAATGAATATGTCTTGCCCTCTCCCACTGCCAGAGGCGAGCACTGACTCTTCGATCCTCTCGATCGGCGGGCATTCGGAGAGGGCTCGGATGATATGGGGCCTGAGCATGCAGACTCTTCGGCATCTGCTCATGGCTTTGGACCTTCGGTCGCAGACGGAGCAAAATGCAGGAGGTGGAGCGACATGTCAGGCGCCAGGGCAGCGTAGAAACCTGCATGCCGCCCGCTAAGACGCACTCGGCGGCCAATTTCAGAGATCGCCTGATTCAGGAGTCACCAGGTTGTCCAGCATCTTCTCCTTAGGAGTCGCTCATAGAAAAGCCGTCACAGGAGAGGCAGTCACCGTTTTTGACGGAAGACTCTGAGGCACCCTGCTCGAATGCCCTCACAGCTGCTGGCATCGGCTTCACTGAGCCTGCGCCCGTCATCACGCGAGAGTCTGGCGCTTAGAGTGTGCCACAGTCGCTATGCCGTTACGCATTAGAAAACAAGCAAGGCGGAGCGTCTTTTGCTAACCCTTGAACACTGTTTATGTGAAGGTCCGGAAAGGCGACCATTGAATTCGGAACAGAGTGATTCTCGAATCGGATCCTCACGGCTGCGGGGTCCACAATTCGAAATCCACATCTTATGTTCAATTCAAGGCGTCAATGAACGATGGCTGTAGAGCAAGTTCCTCGGCGTCTCCATCAGTGTGGAGGCATGCGAAATTGCAGTCGTGTATGTCTGTGTCTGCAGCCACGGATCCCCAGAACAATCAGCAAGAGACTGACCGCGAATCGCCACTGGAATACCTGTTGGCATGCATGGTCTTCAGACCTTACGCCTGGACGACCCTGGCATTCTTGCGGCGTCCGCACTCTGTCCCGTGCTCTGCTGGATCCTGCTGGCACCAAATTCCCCGCCTGCCGCTCCAGCGATGGCAGTGGAAGACAGAAGAGCAAAGCCGACAACGGCAGCGCAACCTGAGAGCAGCCCTTCCTGCCAACCGTGCATGGCACCATGGCGTAAATGTGTTTTCAGACGAGCGACCACATTGGCAAGAACTACGGTCGATGCTGATGACTTCTGCACGAGGAGCAGAGCAGTGATGCTGATGCCAACCTGAGCAGGATGGACCCTTATGGCTTACTGCTTTGCCCGAAGTTCCGAAAGCGACACATGCTGCAGAACGATGCTGAGAAAATCAGAGTCCCCGTTTCCATCCCAGCCACATTCGCCATGATGTAAAATATCGTTAGGGGAAGAACAGCAGGATGCATCATTGCCATCGCACCAGCTGTCGCACTACTCCTGGTAAGAACCCAACCTACACCTTTAAGCACACTTGACTCAACAGTCTCGCTTGCATATCAGATCTCTCCTGATGCCAAGGCCTGGAGACACCAGTTGCAGAAACAATGGCCAGGCCAGCAGTTGAATGGCACAGCGGCAGCAAGTACCGATGGTCAGGAAAAGCGAGGCATCCTCAGTCTGCAGCCCGCATGCAATGCCCATGCTGGTGGATCGTCTTGGCTCTGGTGGGGCACTGACTGTCAAACGATCAAGCGGCCTATTCAGCTTGCATCAAGGAGTTGCCTTCTGGAGTTTCTAGAAGTCCGCAAGGCACTGACTGTCAGCGCAAATGGGATTGACTAAAACAAAGGCCAGAAACACCAATTATCATCCGGACCAACAGCCACGATCAGCTGAGGCCGCAGCAAATGGACTCGACTCAGAACCACCTCTTCACGAAAAATGCAATCACTGGCTTCCGTCACATAGCGTTGCCCTGCTATGGCCCTGCTCCTGCCTCGCGTTTGCTTCTGTGAGAACTGAACGAAAACAGTTTCCTTGACGACCATGGCCTGGGCACTTTAGCATCATATTCAGGTTTAGTACAAGATACTCAACTAACAAGGCTAGTCCTTTCGCATCGGCTGAATCGGCCACAACATCAGTAAACCATGCCCGCCACATTGCTTTGAGATGATTACAGACACCACTTGACGGTGGAACGCTTAGTTGTAACTTCTATTTTTTATTAGATGTGACTTTTCTGCTGTTTCCACAAAACATCTTGGTTGTATCTTTCTTCGTCTTAAAAATCAACGAATCTCTCTGTGGAGGATGACAAAACACGCATCTTACTTATGACTTTTTTGGCTCTGTTTCAGAGCCTGCCATGCTGGGGCCAAATGTTCCTGCTGGGTTTACTCCTTAGGGGTTTTCGTCTTCGGCCAAAGGTTCCTGCGGGGTTTGCACCTTAGGGTTGTCGTCTTCGGCCGAAGGTTCATGCGGGTCCTACCTAAGGGTTGTCGTCTTTGGCCAGAGCTTGCGGTTCTGTTTAAGTGCTTTGGGACTTCTCTCCGCAGAGGTCAGCCACAGCCTTAGGGCCAAACACTCCAGAACCAACGGCCACCATGTGTTTGCTCTACCTTGAGGAGCTCACGGGGTTTACTCCTTAGGGTTTTTCGTCCTTCGTAGAAGCTCGTGCTGGGTTTACTCCGTAGGGTTTTCGTCTTCGGCCAACGGTTCCGGCTGGGTTTACTCCTTAGGGTTTTCGTCCTCGGCCAAGGGTTCCTGCGGGGTTTACTCCTTGGGGGTTTCGTCTTTCGTAGAAGCTTCGTGTTGAGTATACTCCTCAGGGTTTTCGTCTTCGGCCAACGGTTTCGGCTGGGTTTACTCCTTAGGGTTGTCGTCTTCGGCCAAACGTTCCTGCGGGGTTTACTCCCTAGGGTTTTCGTCTTTCGTAGAAGCTTCGTGCTGGGTTTACTCCTCAGGTTTTTAGTCTTCGGCCAAAGGTTCGTGCTGGGTTTTTTTTTATCACCTCTTCCTTAGGGTTTTCGTCTTTGGTCAAAAGTTCGTGCTGGGTTTACTCCTTCAGGTTTTCGTCTGCAGCCAGAGGTTCCTGCGGGGTGTGCTCCTTCGGGTTTTCGTCTTTCGTAGAAGCTTCGTGACAGGGTGATGCATCAAAAAATTAAATAAGCATCAAAAAATGAATCCGATGATCAAAAGATGTACAATAAGCACCGAAAATAAATCCGATGATCAAAAAATACAATAAGCATCAAAAAAGCATTACACTACAGAAAATGCAGCCATGCCTGGGACCGCGCTATTCTGGGGTTTGCGGTTTCGGGGTGTTCTATTTGCAACGGTTGCCTTGCAATCTGGAGGGATTTCCTGCTATCTCCTTAGGTTTACCTCACGATAACCAACGTTACCCTGGTTACGTTCGTTGTCGTTGCTGCTGTTTTCCTTGTCGTTGTCGCTGTTTTTGCCCCAAGCTACCGGGGTTTCGAGTTTGGCGTCCGTGCCGGCGGTGTGTTTTGGAGCGCGAGCCCGCAACGCTGCAAGGCGCACATCATGAGCATCAGTGATTTGGGATCCTGTAAATAGTCAGGCTTTCGCATGTTTACAGCTGGACGCGATGTTTTCAATTGGTTGCGTGCGTTTCTCGGGTCAATGTATGCAGCCGGTCGCGCGCGCGCGCGCGTTCATGACGGGGAGGGGGGCTGGGGGGTGTCCACGCCGGCGTGCAAGCCGACTCAAACGTGCACAAACGTGCGCGAGGGTGGACCGCCCGCGCTGCCCGCACGGGGCGCAGCCCTTGCAGATACAAGACTATCTTGCTTTATCTTCTACTTACATTACCTTATAATAGCTTATATTATCTTATGTTGTCTCATAATTTCTTATAATATCCTCTTGTATTGTCTTATATTATCTTGTATTATCCTAAATTATCTTGTACTGTCGTAAACTGTCTCACATTATCTTACGCTACCTTATATCAACTCATATTATCTCATAGTTTGCATTATCTTATATTGTCGCATATTATTTCGTATTATATTCTACTACTTGTACCTAACATTCTCTTACTTTATCTTACCGTCTTACCGTACCCGACTTTATCTTCTATGTCTTCATGGTTGTTCATATTATCTTATCTCACAATATATCATAATACATTGTATTGTAATATTTGACGTCGTATTATATCATATGGTCATATGTACATATTTAGATGATACATCGGTAGATAGACTGATAGATAGATCTATAGGTATGTAGACCGATAGATAGGTAGTTAGATAGATAGATACATACATAGATCGACCAATAATTAGATAGATAGATAGATAGATAGATAAATAGATAAATAGATAGATAGACTAGATCGACTAGATAGATTGAGAGAGATAGATAGATAGACAGGATAGACAGATAGATAGTTCGACAGATAGATATAGATATACCGATAGATAGATCGCCAGATGGATAAATGGATGGCTGGGTGGATGACTAGACAGATACATAGATAAGCGGACACGCACACACAAAGACAGGCAGACACACAAACGGACAGACAGAAAGGCACGTAGGCAGGTAGGCAGGTAGGCCGATAGCTAGGTACAGATGTACAAACATACGCGTTTTTACGACATGTCATGTATAGCGTCGGCTTCTTCTTCGGAAAAGAAGCCGACGCTGCCAACATCCTGGCTTCTGTACCATCCTCCGAATTATGACAGGGTCTTAATTCTTAACCAAGCTGCACCCACCCCGGCCTGGAACTTCTTGGATGTCATAGCAGTGCCAAAGAAGTAGTCAAGTGCTTCCGTCCAGGCTTCCTGCGTCAGCGCTGAGTTAGCAAGACAAGCGCCTGCTGCTTGCAGCGTCTTCATTGCAAAAGGGCAATATCGACGCAAAGGGTAGAAGCGCAGTGGGCCCTTGCAGTCCTTGCATCATCATGAAGCCTATCTTGCCGAGATCTACAGGTCAAAACTGCGGGCTCGCAAACAGCAAACCCGTGAAGCTGACACCCGATCGTCGAGGACCTCCAGACCCTCTGCAGCAATCGTGCAGTTCTCCGTCAGCTTTGTGGTGTTCAAGAGAGGCCTTGAAAAAGCAACTCGCCCCGTCGGGGCGCGGGGATGTTGGCACAGAACTCTACGAGTACCTTGGGCCCCATCGACTTCGCAGAACCTGCTGAACCTGCTCAACAACCTGCATCGAGTTTCGGCTAAGTCAGAAAGTCTGGCCAAGTGACCTCGGAATGAGAGTAGCCAAGATGGCCAGGATCCCTCCAAGGACGGAGGTGAGGTTGATGATGGTCCTTGTCATCGGGTCTTCACGCAGCGGTTCAGCCGAGAGCATTTGAGATTCTGTACTCGGCATGACATGAGGCTTCATGGCCAAAGCGCTCTCAACAGGAGTGGCCCATAGCTTCCACAATCTTCCGCACAAGCACGTTCTCGCAGTGCTCTGGTCTACCACTCCTTCCCTTCACTGCCTGCTCTTTTTCGAAACGACGCAATGAAGAGAAGCTGTCCTTGCCTACACTGCCTGTTTTGCCCCAAAACCATGCAACATCATGCAACAGAGGGAATCAAAGGAGCCACTCTTTCCCTCCGTTGCGTCTTCTCTTCACTGCCTGATCTGCCCCCAACCATGCAACGAAGGGAGCCACTCCTTGCCTGCCGTGCCGTGTTGGCAGTTTTGCCGCTGTGCCCCGAAACCACGCAACGAAGGGGTTTGCCCCAAAACCACGAAACATGGGACGCCCTAAATCCGCGCAATGACGTGAGCCAATCCTTGCCTTCATTGCCTGTTTTGCCCCAATGCCACCCAATGATGGGAGCCACTCCTGAACTACAATTCCTGTTGTGCTCCAACACCATGTAATGAAGGGAGCCATTCTGCTACGTATGGCTCCTCAAAACCGCACAACGAACAAAGCCACTCCCTTCATTGCCTGTGTTGCCACAAAAGCTCATGAAGGGAGCCACCCCTTCCTCTCGTTGCCTGTTTTACACCAATTCAAAGTCTTTCCTAGCCAGCTGGCCTGTGATGCTTCTAGAGTTTACCCTCTTTCAGAAGCAGCTCAACTGGCTACCGCTCTGCAAGTGGAGGCCTCGATCCCTCGCTGTGGAAACCACGAACATGCTCAGACCCGCCTGAATTTTGCAGGTCTAGCAGTCTAGCAAGTTGGAGACTCCGGCCGGGGCAACAAAGGCTTTCCCATGCAATGCAATCTTCGAAGCTGAATGGCACCATCGTTGGGCGGCCCTCTTGTCATCGCAGCTAACATACCGATAGCAAGCCTCAACCCAATGAAGGCACGAACCAACTAGGTGTGTTTCTTGCATGACGATAAAGCTTAAAGCCTGCAAAAAAAAACACTGTGACACCACATGTTCTCGAATGCAATCGCTGGCTCGTCTGGGAGTCCCAGTAGAGATCCTGAACGGGTCAAGACATCTAAAACATCGGAAGACACGCCTACATTGTACTATATTCGACAACAGCAAGCTGCCCGTCGCACATTGGACAAACGCCGACACCCTTCAACCAAAAGCAAAACCATCCGTCCATGTGCATCCGACCTTCCGTGTGGTGACACGCAGGAAATCACGAATTGAGAGCATCTGCGTTTGGATGATCTGAACTTGCTCGACCAACTTGGACATCAAGCGAAAAGAAACACTGTGAGGAATCTGACCTCCAGGCACAGCCGATCGAGCAAAAGCAAAGTCGGTCCATGAAGCCGATTGGAATCTCTCCAGTGACGGTTCCCGCAGATGGATCCTGGTTAGCTCAGCGCATACCGCAGGGAGAGTATGAGTTTTGAGAGATTTTCGGCCTTTGACACGCAAGCACCAGCCTTAGGCTTAGACGCAAGGCAAGCTGCAAGGGAAATGTGCGAGAGGGGTGGTGGGTTGGCTATGGAACAGAACCCTTACACTACGCAACCCTGGCTTGCACTGGAACCCACCCCGATCACAAGCAATCGAGCTTACTTACAGCCAGGCTTCCAAAACTGAAGGTGAACCTGGAAGCCCCACATTCGTTCTCG